AAAAAAAAAGAAGTCCATCCATCCCTCCATGCAAATTTCCCACTTTCCAGATGCAACTACTGATTTTTTTCAGTTACTTCTCTTTGTTTTTACAAAAACAAATCTATCTCTAAGTAACTTTTTTAGAAGATGCTAATTCAATTATTGGTTTAGACATTACATATTCAGTTCCCACCATGAAAAATTAGGATTTTTTTTGTTTTGCATCTCCTGTTCCCACCACAAACACTCTGGTTTTGTGCCCTCACCTTCTCATTATGAATTGCAATTTCAGTAACACCCATTTTTCAATGACTATGTGAATGATTTCACTCTTCTTGCACATTGTTTTCCCTGAATTGAATCTTTTTTCAAAACTTTTTTTATAGTTATTTTTTTAAATTATCACTAAAGTTACATAATAGTGAAATATACAAATACATTAAGAAGACAACTGATGAGTTCTGATAAATGCATACACTCATATAACCCACAAAATGATGATATACAAAATTTCTTTTACTCCAGAAAATCCCTCATGCTTTTATAGTTAGTCCCTTCCTACGCCCATCAGTAACTGTACTGATTTCTATTTCCATAAGATTCTCTTACTAAACTTTATATAAATGGCATCATATAATATGTTCTCTTCTGTCTAGCTTCTTTCAATGTTTTAAAAATTCATCAATGGTATTAATAATAATAATTTGTTCCTTGCTAGACAATATTTCACTGTATTCCAATATCATTTTGATTCTTTCCTCTTTTTCTGAAAACCTAAATAATTTTTCTCTTTCTAGAGATATATAATATGAAGAAACACTGAGGTATCATTTCTATTTTTAACCATCCTTTAGATTGGGAATTTCACAGGTTCTCTTAATATAGAAACTAAAGCTCCTTCAGGTTTGGGAACATTTCTTGAATTGTTTCATTGAAGACTTCCTTCTCCTCCATCTTCTGTGTTTTTTAGGGTTTTTTTCCTTTCTGAAACTGATTATTTATAGATGTTAAACCTGAGAATTTATTATCTTTTCCATCTTATTTTTTTAACCTCTTTTCCTATTACTATCCTTTCTGGAACTTTTCTTCAATTTTATCTTTAAATTTTCTATTAAGGTTTTTCATTTCTGAGAATCATATATGCTTTGGGTGCTTCTGAATATTTTCAAGTTTATATTTTGAAGTTCCTCAGGTACCTTTTTGACCTCTGTAATTGCCTTTCAAAAATTATTTGGTCTAGTTTCATGATTATATCTTCTTTTGCTAAAGATTATTAATGATAGTTTTGATTTTTTTCTTCTCCAAGCAAAGACTTGTTTTCTCTAAGTTATTTCTTCATACCTTTTGATTTACTCTCAGCCTTTCACATATTAGATACTTTCTTCCAGGTAGCTGGGCTATTCCTGGTAAAGTTCACATTTAGAAGTATTAGCAAAAAAGGTGATTAGAAGCATGTACACATATGTGGAACTTGACTGTGAAAGAATGAATGACAGTATTTTATTTTAGGCTTTTTCTCCTGGGCTCTTGAGATTCCCTAGAGAAGATTATTTCTGATCTCTTATTTGGAACACAACTCAACATTTACCAAGAACTCAGTATCAACCAAGAACTCAATATTTACCAAGTCAAATTTTCACCTAATGTTCCTAAGATAAATATAGTAGCCCTCCCTCAACTATGTCTGGTGTTCCCTAGACTAGAGACTTTGTTTTAACTTATACTTTTCAAAGATAAACTTGTAGGAGGTGGAGGGAATAAGGATA